CATTTTGCCAAAACAAGATGTTACACGTCTTTCGACAAAATCGTTTCGAAAACGCGAGGGCTTGAACAATCACACTGTTTGCTTGAAAATTCTTTACAATCATTCTCTCTCTCTCTCTCTCTCTCTCTCTCTCGCTCTCGATAAACAATCCTAGATAAGAGAGCAGGTTTACGTTCCGCGGGTCATCCTCTCTTTACTCTTTCTCGCGTTACACGCTAACTATTTCTCTCTCTACCCCGTAATTTTTTATCGCCTGCTCAACGTTTACCTCTCTCCGTCTCTCGACCCACTCGCGGTCAGATTTAACGCTCGACATTCGTCGTTCCAGCGGCGATACAACAGCGTATGACCGTCGTATCAGGTGCCACGGAATCGTCGTTGGCCGATTACGAAATCAGGAAACTCGCAGTCGTCGATGTTTTCACGCTCGTAGAACACTTGTTCGTCGACAATCGCCGATTGTCGGTTAGCTGTTTCTGACGAGTTCGTAATGCGTAAAAAGTAGCTACAATTTGCTGTTTGAAATCTCGCAATTTTAGTAAAAAAAACTAAAATATATTCGTAAATTTTAAGACGTTTTGGATATTTGGAGGATATTTGGATATCTGAATTATGAAACAAATAAAAAAATAGAAATAATTATTATGAAAAAAACTGTATATAGTAGCTGTTCTTTTCTTCGTAAATGAACATAGGTATCTAGACAATGATGAAATGATAGTGTCAGTAATAAAATTAAAAAATAAGAAAAACTTAATTCTGTATTATGACACGTACTCTGTGTTGCACTCGTGATCGCACACTTTTCAAAGAGGTCGCGACAGCTAACTGATTAACGTAAAAAGAGAGTGAGAGAGAGAGAAAAGTTCGCTCGGGAAATACTACCGGCAGATCACCGTGCGTAGATTCCGCTGACAGCATCAACGAGCCAGGACGTTTTAATCGTTACTCGATCTCCGAGCCGTCTTACACGTTCTCCGATTGCACGGATGCACGCCAAGCAGCCAAGTAGAGCGGATCGCGAGCTTCCCATTTAGCTGCTAGCCAACTCGTTACGAGCGAATTAACAGCGGAGTGGGGTGGGGAGAGGCGGGGGAGGAAATTGATCGAAACGACGGCGATGTTGCGAAACGCGCCGCGAGTAAACTGCGAGCGCGATATCGTGTTCGGTAGTCGCTGGTCCGGTTGTGGTTTCAGCCGTTTCTCGAAACGGACCGATGGATTCGTTGATACGCGATCCAGCGAGTCACAGATCGTTCGGTCGGATACGCGAGAGACACACAGTGGAAACTGTTACAAATTATGGGCAACGGTCGGTCGAATTTTCGCAAGTTCAGCCGTGCGCGCATAACTTAGCGTTAGACGTTATCTAAACACGGTAATAAACGATGTAACATTTCCACACATTAATCGTGCTCGACTTTCTCCTCTCGGAGAGCCGAAACCAGGTGTACACGCGCGCGAGAAATTGTCCGAAACGGTATGGAAACGGTTCAAACGCCGATATATATCCGTGGCGCGCAGCCTCCAGGGAGCCGAGGGACTTCCGTTAAACACACACCTGCCGGCGCGATTGTTTCCGATTTGCGAAACAATAAACGCCTCCGGTGGCACGTTCGACGCCGATAATCGGCGACAGGCAGGGCAACAACGGGTGAGCAGCTGCGCGAACGAACCACACCCAGAGGGAGAGGAGAGGAGAGAGAGAGAGAGAGAGAGAGAGAGAGAGAGAGAGAGGGCAGAGACTAACACCCCAAAGAGAACTTTTCTAGCAGCAGCAGCAGCAGC